GCCTGAACAGTTTGACTAGTGTCAACATTTTGTACACAAGGACCTGGGTTTTTTTCTACGTCATGGCAAAGTTTATACTTGGTACAATTCCCYTTGTGACTTCCTCCCTTGAACTCATTGTCTAAGAAATTCGACACATTATTGCACGAAAACAATTTTATCCAYGTTTGATAATTCCTAATTTTTTTATCTAAAGGCGTAWTATATYTATATCTTCTAGCAACCGGTCTAGGTTTCTTCCTTACTTTGTTAACAAAGGCAATATATTKTCTTCGAGTACTCTTATTTTTCCTTTTGAATTTACTTTTAATACTCGAAATAACACAATGAACTTGCGAAGACTTCGGTATGTTTATGAGCAGGCGACGTGATACATATCTCTGCAGATTCCTGTTCTTACGAGACAGACGACGTAATTTATTGACTGGAATTCTACTTGGTTCTCTTTCRCGCTTATTACAATGACATTCGCACACAACACGAGTGCAATGATTATAATAGACATATTTTGCATACCGCGATCTGAAGTTTTGTACTTTTATTGACACAACAACATCATTACAACTGTTGACATTAGAAAWATTAGCAGTTTTTTCTAGTATATGACAGTCATCTAGACTATTTGAAAAGTTATATGTAAGAACGGTGAATACAAGCATCCACTTGCAAAGAAGCGAATCTATAAGAGTAAGTTGGAAACTTACTAGTACAATAAAGATTACAAAAACCTTGCTGAATGTGTCGTTATAAGTACTGAATAACATAAGTATAAATATAAGAATCCAAATACTCACTGCAAGGAATGTTTTAAAGTACTGATTAAAAAAAATGAATGATTGCTTTTGAGTCCATTGCGAGGTAAAATCCAGTATGGCGGCTTTCTTTCTGACCACGACTGAACGATCTCCTTTGACTTCAGATGCTTCTGACTTCCTCTCAGGATTCATACAGTCAGTTTGTATGTCAGTTTTAGTAGGTTTGTCAGTTATATCGTAGTTTTCATTTGAATCATTTGAGATCTCGTGTGAACTAGTAAGAACTTTGCTAATAGATTCGTGGACCGGCCCGTTCCGAAAATTACGCTGTACATCTTTTAGTGTGGGCCTACCACGAACGGCGTGTGCATTTGTGTGTGAGATCAGCGTTCTAGTTTTGATTCCCTTCATTGTCTTCATACAACTTCTTCAAGGTCGTCGAAGCTACGTAGTTTTTACCACGAGGCCGATCGCTTTTGAAACGAAGACTGCAGACTGTCGAAATCGCGGGCGCTACCACTTTGAAGCCAAAAAATCATAACAAAAACCAGCAGCATTTTTAGACATGGTCTTCCACAGGAAGCCCATGTAA